AATTTTCTTATAGTAATATTCTGATTTAGAATTGCTTGCTGGTGTTAATGATTATTAATATACTTGAACTAGTCATTATTGTGTATTTTGAAGTGTATTTCAAAGTTTTTGAAACTGAATTTTCATCCTCTATAAGGGGAAAGGAATGTGATAATTTGAGGCGTTTAGTTTAGTTATTTGCATAATTGTATGTAACATCTCTTGAGGTCTCAGTGTCAGGCCTAGCAGTGAGTATTAAACATCTTAGTTACAAGTGCTTCTCTCCAGTGCGTTATTCTTCTCCCGGATTTGGTGACCAATACTCACATGATTCACTCTACCTTGAGAAGTCTGTGCACAGTTTACAGTCTTATATTTAATTTTGTTCCATAATTGTTGTCAGCATAAATACGTTAGCAGACAGCCATGATCATTGTGCACCACAAACGGTCCGGCGTATCAATTCAAGAATTCAATTATATTCAATTATATTCAATTATATTCAATTATATTATATTATATTATATTATATTATCGCGGAACACCTGAAATTCTAAATGATTTTTTCGTTAAAATGGCCGACGAAATTTTACGAAATAAAATTTTATTTTATATCGTCTGATATAGCAATAATAATATCTTATAGACCAGGAAAGCTTTACACCCGAAGCACAGTCTATGCTTATGAAAACAAAGGAAACTTCGATTTTTGCTTAAATTTGTGTTGGATTTTGGTATTTTACAGAGCAAAATATGCATATTTAAAAGTTAAAAAAACAAAAAAAAACTATTTATTTATTTTTTCATCATGTATTTTAATTTATATATCAGCATTTTCACAAATTTAACTTTTTTGATTTGCTGAACAAAAACTGTCACTGCTCTTTGTACTAATTGCTGTGTTGTCTTTCCGTCTCCTGTTATAATTAGATAAATCCAGTAAATATCTTATACAATAGTGACTTCAGACTTTAAATAAAATAATCTGATATCAGTTTAAAACTTAACTGTATAATTGGGGTTCTAGCCGCATTGCATAATCTGTTAGTTATTTGGCAACTTTAACCTCAAAATATTTAGCCTATAACATTTTTTGCATCAACAAATTTATAGGCAATATAGGTAATAGTTATTATTAAGAACACATTTGTACGATTAACTTCTTTATCGTTCTGAAATATTTTTTTTTTAAATATATGCATGAGAGCGTGTGTGAATTCTGGAAAACATGATATCAAAAACAGGGTGACCCCCCCTCTTCGAAAAATCAAAAAACAGGTTAACCCCCCTACTGATCCACCGACCCCCCCTAGGCCGAAGTAACTGACCAATCCCTTACGCGGGAGGGTCGTCACTTGCGCACGCGCGGAAATTGAGTCCCAAGCAACAATAACAACACACGTTAAAAAGACAAAGGCTCAGGGGTAGACGCTTGTTTGTAAACAATGGCACGCTATGGCCATCTGACGCATGCGCTTTAAAGGTATGTGAACATATAACGCAAGGTCACTGTTTATTAAAGGGCGGCAGTCGTCGTGCCGCGTCCTGTTTGATATGGGACTCATAGCGACGTATACAACGCGTGTAAAATACATTGTTTATTTACATGAAATTCGAACACGCGCTGCGCGACGACCAGCGGGCTTTAATCAAAGAATTAATACGACTGAGATGCTTTACGTTATCGCAGTGACTTGTGTATTTGAAAATGACAGGGTCATTTTTCAATGATCTTGTTATTCTTTCAGGGTTTAGCAATCGCAATGTCAACTGTGAATGTATGCACACTCATTCAGAGGTCAGTGTGACATTAAATTGTTATAAGTTCATGACCTCCTTAGCTCACTCGCACCACGGTTGTTAATACAGAACGGCTGAACGTATTCTATTATTTCGTACATAGCACTGAGACAGGTAAAGGTTATATAGCGTTTTGATCGCCACTGTCTAGAGTAGTCAGTGTT